AATGGTATCTTTGTATTCATTTAACAGCTTACAGGGCTTTTCTGTGTATAGTAACATCTCTCTATGGATGGACATCTTGAAAGCAGTATTTCTTCGGAGTAGTTTCATTCTGTAAAGGAGATAATGAAAGATTCCAATGTTGGGGTTTTCTTTTTGCTTTGGACAGAGGAGAGCAGGGCCTGATTGTGTGCTCTCTCTTTCGCGCTTTCTCTCTTTCTCTCTCTGGTTAAAGGTGATAATTGTGCCTGGACTCCTTTATGTAGCCACTGTCAAGATGCAGGATTATCTCCAGCTACATTAGGAACAGGTGAGGATCAGTTTTCTAATGCAGGATTCTACTGTTTCCTTCTTTTATTTTAAAAATAATTAAAAGTTTCTGATAAAGAAGCTTTAGAAAATCTGGAGCAGAAAGATCACTAACAGCATGCGTATGATGGACAGTGCCAATGGAACCAGCCTTTAAGTGAAAATAAATGCTGCAAATAAAGTCCTCTGGTTTAGTTTAGAATTTTTGCTCTCTGTATTTTCTACTAATATCTCTTATATTATTCACTGCTTACAATTTTGGAGGCCTAGAATAAGCAGAACGTTACCTTTAAAGTTGGGGGGGGCGAGGAAGGGCAGTATGTGTGCTAAAACATTACAAGTTACACATGTTAACACTGAGTAGCTGGTATTTCCCTTACCATTAATGTGAACTGAAGTGCCTGAAAGTAGAGGTAACAAAAATGGCTGTGGTTTATGAAGTACTTTAATTACCCAGCCACTCATCCTAAATGCAGTCCTTGCTCATGGGAAAGCAGTACTCTTGACCCCTGGCTAAAATTACACATTTTGCAGTGTTTCCTTAATTGCATAGGTTTTGTTATTCTTCAGACAAAACAGACATTTTATGACAAAGCAAAAACTTCTGTGACAGTATGTGTTTTGCCTTTTTTTTCTTTTTCTTTTTTTTTTTTTTTTAACTATTATTTTAAAGATCTTCTTCCCCCCCTTTTTTAGTTCCTGTTTCTGGTTCTCATGTGGCTGCCTCTGCTTGTGAGCATTCTTTGAGCAGTTTCCTACCAACTGGAAAACAGAGGGATGCAAGGAAGCTTGATCTACACCTGAAGCCAAAGGCTTTGCACAAAGTCTCAAAAGAGCGACCATACTCTTTAGTGGACCTTAAGACTTATAAAGACACAAAAATTTTAGTGGCAAAATTTTTGGAACATTCAAACTGTAATCTCCCTCCAGAAGTACGTCATGTAGTGAATAGCATACGATCGGTGATAAAATCTGATGAAAGACACATGGAAGAAGCCATCTTCAGTGCCAATATTATAGACCAGGTAGGCCATGTATGTTTAAGGCTTTGTTCAACTGTGATAGCCAAATACTGTACTTAAATGTTTTTAGTTTTAAATAGTTCAGACAATTCCTTCTTTTATAGTAAGGAATTTCTTACATTTATTGGCCAGCCAAGCATTTTATGCTGAAGTACTCATAAATGCATTTAAAATTCCTCAGCTGGACCCAGCAATATCCTAGGAGATCTATAGGGAACTGATTTACACATTGATAATCATCCTCTCTTATTTCCAACATCTTTCTGCACCTGTGATTGTTCCATACATGAATTTGTGATTATACACAGAGAGATACACAGAACTGACTTGGATCTGTGACATTTTCAGGCAAATGTATTTGCACAGCATAAGCCACTAGCTGAAAAGAATGGGTAGAGATACAGAACAGTGCAGCTACCCTCACTCCTGGCTAGAAGAATGGTAATGACTCTTGACAGTCTTAAGAAAAAAATTGAGAAATTTTGCTATTTCAAATGGAGGAATAATGCATCTTCTCACCTTGAGTGAGAATAAAACAGACACAAGGCCTGGAAGGAATCCTATAAAACAAGGGAATTAGTGGTGGCAGGAAGTTGTGTTACCTAATGCATGTTTAGTAATACATCTTTTTTGCAGGTTTTGATGAATCACCTCTTGCTAGTATTGTTACCAGAATGCTACCTATAGAAATGATGTTCCTTTTTCTGTTGGCAGATTTGAAAAGCAGAATGCTCTTAGTACTGAGTAACCACATTAAGTGTGCCTGTAGGGTTTTCAGAGCTGTACAGACAATTAAGGATAAGTGCTTGGGGGCTGTACCCCCTTCTGAGATAGTGTCATTTCTGTGGTATTAGTCTGCTGATCCCCAAATGAGGGAAACTGGCCAAGTTCTAAAATAGGATGTAATAACAGTTGAACAGCATGTGAGATAGTTTGATCTGTAGCAGGAACCATACAGCATTCAGGAAAGCTTACTGAAAGATTGGTTTTGCTACCTGTGAAGAACAAAGAAGTACCACTGTATCTGTAACCTCTGTAGTCACATGGGTAGAAAAGCAGCACTATCGTGACATACTTAATAGTATTAGTATGGAATTAAATTTTAACGGTTTTACTTCTTAACAAAACGTATGGGTCATTAAATCCTCAAGCTTAGAAAGCTGAAAACTGTTTTCTTCAAATGAAAAAAACAGTTTCTCACAAAACAAAACAGTGTAAAAAATGCGAGTGTTTATATAGATCATAAAACCAGAAACCAATGGCTCAATTTTTATCCTGTGCGGATTTCTTAGGTCGGGGGAGACGTACCGTTCTCTCACGTTAAGGAAATAATTCTAGTAGGTTGTGGGTTTTTTTCAGACAAAAACCATTATTAACTGATGAAAGTCCAGGGCATCTCTGCAATCTACTTAAGAAGCCACAGAATTTTTGGTAAAACATTTGTATAATTCAGATTTGTGAAATAGCTTGACATTTCTATGAACTCCAAAATGTTTGTTTACCAGGCTTGCAAGGTTTTAGTCACCTTCCACTCTCGGCAAAGCTAGCAGCATCTCTTCAAAGACACAGATGAATTTAATTTGCGCCAAACTTATATTTGTCAATTACAAGGCAGAGCTGCCACCTTATCCACAGGTGTCCTTCTTGTGTAGAGAGAAAAAAGTACTTGTTCGTACCATTGTTGATTCAACACTCAGGCATAGCTATGAGGACTGATGCCTTTCAAGCCTGACGGTGCCTTCTGGTAGCCAGTACTCGGCCCTGACCAGCTGTTAGGAACAGTTCCATCTCATCCCGAGAGTGAGAGGCTCTTCAGATGCCTGCATAAACTCCTCTGGGGATGTTCCATTATTAGATAACTCAAGTGAACTAATGCTCAGGGACTGAACCTTTTAAACGAAAACATTTCTTACCCTGTTTTCCCCATTTTTAACTTCCCTATTCCTGCCCTTTTAAACAGGTAATGGCAAGTTCCCAGCAGAATGTGAATACCTCTAGAAATCGACTTCAAGAAGATCTTCATCTTCAGAGCTGCGGTGCTCTGAGCTCTCCACTTGCATTCTCACGTAGGTCCCGTATCACTCGCCCTTTACAGCACGACAGGCCTCACAGTTTAATTGGAGTTTGCCGGGAGACCATCCTTTGATAATATTCGCAGGTATGTGATTGCAGCAGAAAGAATTATGGAAGAAACCAGGACTGGGAGAAATACAAGTAGTGGATGACTTAAAAAGGAAAAAGTGTCTTCCCTTGGAATTCCACCTTTTTCAAACAGCAGGAGGAGAACACCTGTTTTTCTGAATGTAAATTTCGGCTCTCATTTTTGCGAAATTTTAACTGATTTGGTAGTCAAATCTCAACAAATGTTTTCCCAACCAGAAATGTGTTTATTTCACTGTACTTACAGAAATGCTACTAATGCTGCCTAGCACTTCTTGAAAATCATGGCGAAAGTGCCAGAGACGGGCTGTACAACTTAAAAGTTGTATTTATTTAATGTACCTCAGAGTGTTTTAACTATGATCAGTGTTTTAATAAAAAGTATTTCTGGACTTTGCTTTCTCAACAACTGATTCGGATAGAAACATAAAGGTGATGCACACGCACATACAGTGCTGCTTCTAATCCGTTTTCCCAGTGTCTTTCATGCCAGGCTAACTGGTCTGTCCTATTAAACCCCCCCACTCCTTCCCCTCCCTCCCCCCATGTTGCCTTTTTAAATCGCAGTGGTGGCTGCAGTGTGGTTTATTTTGCTCTGGTTTGATTGCTCATGAGTTCATTAGCGGAGTAGTGTATGCTATTGAAAACTGACGTTGAAGTCACCTCTGCAAATTGTGACCAAAAGATGTATTAATGAAGAAGTCTCTGAAATTCTGTGTTTCCAAAAAGCATACTTCACGGACTTCTTACAAACGCTGATAGGAAGTTAGATGAATTTTCATCTAGCAGAGCCTTGAGCATTATTTCAAAAAGAACTGACTCCAATTTCCAATTAGCAGTTTTGGCAATTGTGTTACTAAAGCATGTCCTAGTGGTTCTGCTGCCTTTGTGATTTATTTAACATTGATCTTAAAAAATAATCCAAAAGTAATTATCATTGACGCTAATTTGATTACCAGCACAAACACAGGTCTGCCAAAAACGTCTTCCAGTGCAAGCTTCATCCTGGCTCTCTCAGAGGAAATTGGAAAGGCCTTAATCAAAAGGTTCTCTTAAAGAACCTACCACAGGTTGACGTTTCAGGGGTTTATTTTTTTTGCAGCAGTGCTTGTCAGTAGCGTTAGTTTCCATTTGAGGTTAAATCATACACTGGTTTCATTTGTGTCACTCTGAGCTGGGCAGACATCCTGTGAAAAGGTCACAAAGGAATGTAGCTGAAGATGGGTAGTTTAAGTTTTACAGAATCATCCATTTTAATGTATTTTAATTATAGCATGCTTCTGTATTGATGTGAAGTTACAGTGACATCCAGTGGCAACAAGGTATGCTAATTGAAAGCATCTACTCAAGATACTAATGACACACAAATTCCTAATTTGAGAGATGAATTCCTTTTAAAAAAAAATTACCTTTGCAACTGCACTTAGATGAAGAATTAAATGATCTTTTACTTGGATTTTTTCATTACGTAAACTTACACAACAAACAAGCAAGCTTCCTTTATTATTTCAGATTTATTAGTGATAGTAGGTTAATTCTTTCCTAAGGTCAGTTGCATGCAACACACTACTCCTGGAAGTACAGTCATCTAAAGTTCTTTAGTTACTGCATGGTAAGGCTTCTTAAGTCACAGTGTATTTTCTTCAAGGCCTTGGCCAAGAAAAAAAACCTAGATGAAAAGTTACACCAATTAACATTTATGTCAGAAGGAATACAACTTTAGTACTAGTTTTTTTAATCTATACACATTCTAATACTGCTGATGGTGCTAGGTTATTTGTCAAAACAATTTACATTCAGAACACATTGCCTTAGGAATACGAATGCTGTATAAAAGACAGAAACAGGTAAGCATGGCTTTCCCATTTTGAGCTAATAGAATCAAGAAGGTAATATGCAAAAATTAAAGAAAAAAAAGCCCAGCCCAACACATACATTACACAACCTGTGCAATAAGTTATCCATGAAATAACTCTGTTAAACCATAAAAATCACAAGCATTAAAAATAAATATGTATCTAAATAAATATTTTGATTTTAATCTTGTGGCAATTATTCTTTATTTAGCATATGAAACACTTGTTACATGTTTATGTTCACACCTTGCCAAACAGGTTACACTTGTCATAACAATACCAAGTACTACAGTGGTTTTCTTTACATTAGAATCTAAAAGTTTTAACTGCAGACATTCCTTCCCACTGAAATACCATCTATTCGGCACCAGCTTTAAAATTCTGCAAAGCCATCAGTGTCAGATCACTTTCTGGGACTGGGATTTTTTTTAACTTGAGGCAGTCATCACTCTCTCTAATTGCTTCTCTTTACCATTTCCTGCGGTCTCATTCATCAAGTAGTCACATTCACCGTGTTATCAAACAAGACAGACATACATACATACATCACTCCACATAAAGGTTACAAATAAATATGTTTTAAGTTTTATGAGAAAAAAGTTTAGAAGATGTTGCAAAATACTTAAATGCTTTACAAAGGTTTCTGTCAGTGATTATTGTCCTGGACCATCCTTCTCATCACTTTTTGGCAAAGAAATAAAAAGGAAGGAGAGAAAAGGCAGAGACACCTGTCTGGTCCTTGTTTCGGAGTCCTCAGGTCAGCTTCAAAGCCTTTCGTTCATACAAAATACAAAATTCTCTTCAGCTTTGATGGAATCATTTAGTTACTTTGCTGCAAGAGTTGCATGCTAGATGTATAGGGGTGTCTCTTGCCCAGTTAGAAGCCTGAACATGGCAGCTGGCATAGTCTTCATGTGAATCTGTCAATTGAGTTACACAGAAATTAACAAAATTGTTACTAGTTTAAAATAATCCATAAGGGCCAGTCTGACTCTGCTCCTGGTTTCTATAGCTGTGAATGCTACCAAAGTTTCTTGTTCAAAGTGTTCTGGTTCTAACAAGCTGGTTTGCTGTCTTTGATTCTTTTTTTTCTTTTTTTTTGATGTGGTGTTATTTTCTGAGTTTTGGGGTTTTTTTGCTGTTTGAGGTTTTTTTAATGACAACCACATGGTGTAACATCATACAGCTTAAAAAGACACCTAAAGGCTTTCTATTGTCATAGCTTACTCTGGTTACAGCCCTTAAAAAAGCAGCAGCACAAACGTCTCTGAAAATTCATTCTGCTATTCTGATATTAATTGAATTTAGATTTTTCTTCTTTCTTCCCTGTTGGAGTGTTATTTTGTATGTATTTTCTCCTAACTGGAGTGTGATCCTCTGAACACAGAACTTACTACCTGATACTTAAATGCCAGTCAAGAGTTTGGTGGAACAGGTTCTCTCATGGCTGGTATATCTAAGTTCTTTCTACAAGTGTCAGAGGACTAACAGGATTGAAGGCATCAGGTAATCAGAGTTCTATCAGAATTGTAGTAACAGCTGTAAGTACCTGTCAGACCATGCAAGAGGAAGGAATATAAATTTTGCTAAATGATAATACAGATGCTCACCAGCCATATCCTTGATTTCTTGGTCTCTTCATTCTGAAAAATAGTGTCATAGTGTCCTCATCTGGTTAGTGACATGGTCTGCTACAAAAAGGTCCCATAAAGGCATGGGGGTTCTATTGAAATCTACAGCTTTGTTCCTGCCAACGTGCAAGTACTCAGCAGTACTCTTCAAGTATCATTTTCCACAGGAAAACAAGTTATTTTTGATTTTTGGCAAAGGAGCTAGTGGAAGATCTGGCCAGGGTTGTGTGTGAAACCGCCACTAGGGATTTAGATAAACTGCAGGATCTTGTTCACTCGTTGCTGGTTTCTCTAAAAATACTGGGGAGCGACGTCTTATTCCCAAGGTAAGTTGGAGACACTTGGTGGAAATTAAATGATTAAAAGATAGATAAATTTGAATCCTTAATCTCTCAGCCCTTTGAATATTGATTTATTTCTATGACACGATATACTGATAAGCCAAGAGACATTTTCATAGCTAACATGCCTGAGCGATTTCTTCCCTTAATTGATTGGTTTAATTCAAAGAGCTGGTTGAAGGGTCAGAGTCATGCCAGGAACCCTTGAAAATGAGTCGGGAAAATGTAGTGAGTATGCATCTAATTGTTAAAAAATGTTAACTGTTTGTTAGTAGTGCTCAACTCCAATTTACTGAGGTGGTGGTTTTAATACTATGTTAAAATACTCATTTCAGCTGAAAGGTATATTCTTTCAACAGTTAATTCCTTGATGATGTATTTAGTTGTTTTCTTACCTCTCCCACTGAATTAGACAATGCTTGAACTATCTTCTCGTGAGCAGTAGCAACAACGCTTTGTCCATTGATCTCAATAATACGATGTCCTACTCTCACCCCTCCCCTCTCAGCTATTCCACCTCGCATCAAGCTGCAAATCTGCCAAAAGAAAACAAAGTTTATTAAACTTTAAATAACGTAGCAGTTATTAGCATTTAATACATAATAATGAGTGCTGACACTCGGAGGATTCCAGAGGATGGTTGTGGAAAGTACTAAGGAATACTTAGATGTTTTTAAATATTGATTGGGTTCGGTTTTGGTTTGGGTTTGTTTAGTTTTTTGGATTTGGGGTTTTTTTCCAGGATTTCTGCAAATTACAATTTGTATTTTCATTCTCATGGGCTGAGAACATACAAATACCTAACCCAGTGATAGAGATCGCAGCCATGCAAAAGTGGAGTCAGAGGGGAAGAGAGGTGTCAAAGATAAAAAGAAAGACCTATCTCAGAGATACACAGAAGAAATTTTTGAGGGTGCTGAGGTGCTGGCACAGGGTGCCCAGAGAAGCTGTGGCTGCCCCATCCCTGGCAGTGTTCAAGGCCAGGTTGGACACAGGGGCTTGGAGCAACCTGATACAGTTGAAGGTGTCCCTGCCCATGGCAGGGGGTTGGAACTGAATGAGCTTTAAGGTCCCTTACAACACAAACCAGTCTGTGATTCTATGAAATGTGTGTATTCCGATTCTTTTCATAGGCTGTGTTCAGCACAGTTCCCTGTGCCTCTGCAGGTTCGAAAAGGGCACTCTGCTCTCCGGAGCCACTGATTTTCTCCATGTTTTACAGTGCTGCTGGCCACAGGGAGCTCAAGATGAAGGCAGCAAGTCAAGCCACTGTTTCAACTGACAACTGCAGGTACCAGTAAAGAGCTAGGCACAAGTTCACCGGGCACAAGTTCACCGGGCACGGTCCCTGCAGACATTGCTACTTAAAATTATTCAGCAGTTGCAACATACATAATGTACAGGCAGAAAGAAAAATCTCAATCCAGCCTGGAGAATGTTTTCTCCTCCATGACAGTATCTGTGCTGCATC